GTCCACTAGATCTTAAGACATCTAGTTAGATCTCAATACAAATAACCGCAAACATTAAACAAAAGTGTTACATCTCTGAAGAGCTAATGATATTTAAAAATTAATCTCATGAGACATAATATAATTACATATATATTACATGATCGAAGCAGATATAATGATATTTTCCATTTTTGCCGGGTGTAACTTTTACATTCCAATTTATGTCAATTAAAATATTAATATAATGTTATCACTATATAATACATGAAGTTTTTAATGATATTTCTTACGCAGCAAGGACTTGGGAGAGTATTTGATGTAAAAAAAGATCCAGAAGATCCGGAAGCTGAACCGTGCGTATTGAAAAATTTTAACATATAATTATAAAAACATTATAATTTTATTATAAATTTTAATAATTTTATTTTATATCTAGCAGTGTCATATTATTGTTTCAATTTTATTTTACATTATAGTACATTTTCACATTACATGGAAGTTAAAAAACATTATTTAGCAATCAAGTAAATTAATGAAATGAAGTTAAATTATTAAATTAAAGTATGTATAGTTGTGTAATTTCATTAAAAATTATACAACATATACATATATTTATAGCTCTTTTTTATATATTATATTACATTTTAGTACATAAGATAATGATTTTGAAGTACATCGTTGAAAGAAGATCCGTTTTCTTAGTGATATAAAGCCAACAAATTTGACAAAAGCTTATTTATTTGCGGCGGCATACGCCTCGTCTTTCGGAGGTACTGGAGCGATTGTAGGTACGCCTACAAACCTCGCCTTTAAGGGCATTTATGAATACAATTTTCCTGCTGCTGACCCGATTACTTTTGGCGACTGGATGGCTGCCTCAATTCCGCAGATGGCTACAAACTCTTTTATATTATGGCTGTACTTGCGAATCGCGTTTCTCGGATATCTGAGGCCGCAGAGTAAAGATGCTGAAATGGCGAGAATTGGTGCAGAAGGCGAGGCAATCGCGAATCAAGTATGATTCAGAGCTGTACAAAAATTGTAAAATAGTGGTAGATTGGGTTAAACTAAGAAGAAAAGTTCTATGCTGCTTTGCAAAATTCGCAATAGTTATCGAGTAATTAATTTATACATCTGAGCGAATGAGGACGTAGAATACGGTAGGCCGGACTCGTTTATGTCCCGTCGTTCGCGCTCGCCGCCACGCTCGCCGCCCGCCCCATGCTTTCTGCCGCGATCGCTGTTTTTTCCCACCGCGTTGTATCTCGCGCGTTGCTCCACCTCCCGCACATCGATCAATTATCTTACATAGCTTCCAAGTACCGTATTCTACGTCCTCATTCGCTCAGATTTATAAATTAATTAATCGATAACTATTGCGAATTTTGCAAAGCGGCATATGACTTTTCTTCTCAGTTTAACCCAACCTACCACTATTTTACAATTGGCAACATTTTTATCAGACACCTTGTACATCCTTATCTCTATTATAGCAAAATTCTCTATTGGACATCTTCAGGATATCCTTAGAGTTAATTTAAATTCTTTTAAAAAGCTATAAAAAGTAATATTTCTTCTTTTTAGATAACTTTATAAATTAATCTACCTCTTGATAAGAAAATGTATTAATTCTCGTAGGTGATAAATCAAAATCTTAAAAATCTAGGACCTATGACGTTTCATGAAACCGCCGTTGCAATACTTTTTACGGGATGCATATTCCTGTGGGTATTTAGAGCTCCTGGATTTGTTCGTGGATGGTCAGAAATTCTAACGGATGTGTAAGTCTCAAAATTTATACTTGTATAACACAATTGTTTAATGAGATCAATAATGAGATCAAAAATTAAATAAGTTTAGAGCAAATTTTTATGTATACTTGTATTCTTTAAACGGTTTAATTAATCCAGAATTGATGTTAAAGAGTAACTTTCCTATGAAACAAAATTTGGAATATGTATGTTTTTATGATAAATTCCCATTTTATTTTTAACACAATCTCTACTATGTAGAATGTTAGCAGATTCAACGCCTGCAGTCTTCATATGCTTACTAATGTTTTTCATCCCGAAGGAGCCAGTCTTTGTACATTTCTGCAGCAAAAACCGTAAGAACTTTTAAACCACGTTTATCAGACCTAGTATGAACTTGCAACACGAGTAAGTAGCAAGTTACTGACTTCTTGTTATAAGAGATAAAACGAGAAATAGCTTGCTACTTGATTCGCTTTCTCGTTAGTTTTATGTGAACCTTAGAATCAACCTTAGAAACCGTAGAATTTAAATTTTATATAATTGCAGCGTCTAGACGACCAACCAGATCATCCGAGGGTCTCATTACTTGGCAGATCATTCAGAAAAAGATGCCGTGGAGACTAATATTTTTATTAGGTAGCGGTTTCGCTGTCTCAAAAGGTAGCAGTGTCTCAGGACTAGCTATGAAAGTAGGATTAGCTTTGGTGCCTTTGAGGGAATTACCTCCTATTCTGATGATGGCCGTTGTTCTTCTGTTCGTCAGTACTTTGACGGAGTTTACTTCGAACGTTGGCACGGCTAATATAATTCTGCCCGTCGTCGCTCACATGGTAAGAATTTATGCAAAGATAAAACATAGATATCAATCATACATATCAAAAAACATTGACAGTTAATAGTAACAAGATAAATTATTTGTGCTTTTACTATTTAAAAATGCAGAGTTAGACTCTTTCTTGGTATATGTATATTTTTTTGTATCTGTAATTAAAAATTTTTGTATATTTTTATCAATTGCTGAAAAGCCATCTACTCGGTAATTGATAAAGTAATCTTTAAAAATATGATCTTAACAATTATTTTTTTATTTATTTTAAATCTAATTTGCTTACCAAAATTGTGATTATTGTTCATCTTTGTATTTGCTTCTCAAAGTGTGTGGCAATGAAGATACATCCCTTATACCTGATGATGCCAGTGACTCTCATGTGTTCATACGCATTCAGAATGCCGGTCGCTACGCCACCAAATGCAATTATAACCGTCGCAGGCCATCTACAAACTCGAATATTGATAGCAGTCGGATGTTTTCCTGCAATGTACAGTTTGATAGTGCAAGTTATCCTATTCCCTACTTGGGGAGCTTTTATTTACAGCATTGGGGAGTTTCCAGCTTGGGCAGAAGAGCTGAACAAACATGATATTGACCGGAGACCATAATCTGGTCTTGTTGCTAATATTCTTACATATTATCCATGATAATAACTAATTGTGAATTGTACCTTTATTTATCGTTTTATATGTTATGAGGATAAATCTAATTATTTATGAATAAAATGACAAATAAAATGATATTAATTCCTTGGACGATAAACTGTCAATTATTTATCTTTAAAGTTAATTCTAAATATGTGATATTAATTTTAATTACATATGCAAATTAATTTTAATTACATATGCAAATTATTTTTGTCCTTTCACATTCTGTTCCATTCTTTATAATTCTATTTTAAGATTAAATAGTTTTCTGTTCCGCGGTCTGCGTGTAAGTGTGAATCTTTATATTTTCGCAACATTATACAGGGTGAGTCACAACATTTGTGCCAGAGCTCGTGAGAAGGTAGAACGGATCGAGATGAACAGAAAACTCCTGAACCATTTGCAATTTTCGCAATAGTTAACGAGTAATTAATTATAAAAAATCATCGTCTTTGCCCTGCCCACTGTCCAATTCGAGCGCGTGGCGAGATGTGACCGCCCGGCGCACTATGGGACGTTTCGCCTGTTTTCTGGCCAAAAGTGGCAAAAATCAAAGTCGAAGTTCGTAATTAACAATTGGAAAAGTTTCTATAAACTTTAGTGAGACACGGAGAAAAATTTAAGACCATTTGTTCCACGCAAAGTATTTTTTCTGTCGCATTTTGTGTTCGAAAGTGTGTAAAAATGTACCTTGAAATCACGAAAGATTATTGTTTCTTTGATCTTTTTTTCTCCTCCAATGTTGAAGACATACAAATCACTGCTTGAAATACTTTTTTAGCATAAGTTAATGCTTGAAAATAATAAGAATAAATTAAGCTTTGGCCATTCTGGAGAGGAGAACTTTAAACTTGAATTAGAAAAAGTAATGATTTTATCAGTTTCTGATATTTAAAAGACTAGAACTTCCGAATAACAAACAATAACAAGGTGATCTTTGGCTTGAATATTAGGTGGGACTCTATTCTTCCTAAAATCGTTTCGTAAATCACCGCCTAGAACCGCCTCCGGGAGATATAATTTTTTAAAGTAAAGACAATCGACTACTTTTTTCTTAACAAGTTCGTGATTAAGCTAAGCGATATCATAGTGGGACGTTATGTAGGGCTTTTTGAGGTTGCTGATTTTGAATATGACATTAAAAATTATGAATACAAAATGGCGGATCTAATATGGCGCCCAAAAATATGAAAAACTGCTTTTTTGCATAAAAATGAAACGTAAGCGGTGCCCGAAGGATTTTTGAAGTTGCTGATTTTAAATATGACATTAAAAATTATAAATAGAAAATGGTGGATCTAATAAGACGCCCAAAAATATGAAAAACCGCTTTTTTGCATAAAAATGAAATGTAAGTGGTGTCCAAGGGGTTTTTGAGTTCGCTAAATGGTAAAACTTTACAAACACGGACCCAGCCCCAATGACCTTGACCTTGGCATATGTTGTCAAGGTCACCTTACTGAGTGACCTTCAGAAGGTTTTAGCCGTCGCTCGTTGTTTGTTAAAAAGTTATAAAGAAAATAAGTTTCGCAAATGCTATGTAGTTCACAA